GGCTAGGAAATAAATGGTGATAGGGTGGCATGATAACTAGCCATTAGATTTCGGAGAAAGTGAGAAAAAGAAGGAAAAGACAATATAGTTATCAAATTTAGATTTGAATTTTAAAAATGTTAGACTTGATAAAATAGTATTTTGTATTAACAAAACAACTTAGGTTATGTTCCTTTCGTTATTTGAGTTTTTAATTTTAAGTTTTTATAGTTAAAATTTTTTTAAAAATGTCACATTTAATTTTTTTTATTATAATTAAAAATTTTAATAAAATATCACATATCAACTTAAATTAAAAATTTAAATTCATAAAATGAACAGAACTTTAATAACATTCTATTAAAGTAATAATTGAAATTTACCGTGAAAAGTAAATATGCAGTAAATAAACAATATAACGATATGATTTTTTTTAACGTGGTCAAAATTATAGGAAAAATCATGAGTCTAATAACACCAGACAAAAAAAAAAAAAAAAAAAGATTTCATTAACACCTAATTATAATTATAAAAGATTGTAATCATGAGAAAGCAGAAACTTACCCAACTTAAAGCCCACAATGTCTCTTTCTGACTTGTTTTTAAACTCTTCGATTGGATTTATTTAATTTATTGATTTAATTTGATATATAATTTTATATGAGAATTTTTTATTATAATAAAAAAAATAAATATGATTATTTATAAAAAAAATTTACTGTAATAAAACTCAAATTTTAAACTTAAATCAATAAAATTAATGATATCAAGTTTTTAGCTTGCCTTGACGTACTCCAAACTAAATGCTTGTGGTCTAACTGACGTACTCCAAACGTTATCCGCTTTAGCTCATTCTCAGACTTACTCCGAATCAACAAATCCACAACATCAACAGAGATTGAGAGCTTAATGTTTAAGCCTAGGGAATGATTCGGCTCCGTTCACTTCGTTGATTCGAGTCTAGAATTCGAGTTTTTCTACAGTAAAAAGCTCTCACAAACAATTACATCTAACTTTTTTACTACAGTAAAAAGCTCTCACATAAAATCACATCTCAACTCGAATTCTAAATTCGAATCAGCGAAATGAACGGGGCCGTTTTTCTCTCCCAATAAAGCTCTAAAAGTGAACACATATGTCTCACCCTAAATAAACAAAGCCTAAGCATGAGAAAGTCATGAGGTCCGTTTAGTTCGGTAATTTAAATTTTTAATTCGAGTTTTTAATTTAAATTTAGATGTGACTTTAAGTGAGAATTTTTTATTGTAATAAAAAAATTAAATGTGATTATTTTTTAAAATTTTTTACTGTAATAAAATAAATTTAAAATTTAAAATGGTGAAATAAAAGAGACCTTAAAGATAATCTTTAATTGGGATCCCAGCTGTCAAAATATCCTCTTTCAATCAAATTAGGAAAGTTTAACTCAACTCTAGTGTGTTAGCATTCGTGTCGACATACAACTATGCACTCTTACTGTTTGGACGAACCGACATTTCTTGTCGTCAGAATTAGAAACTAGAAACAAAACATGAAAGTCAACTTTGGCTTAGTTTGGTATTGCTGCGGATTTTAGATTAATTGCTTTTAGCTGTGCTGAAGGAAGAAGCTGCTGTTACAAGAATCCGCTGAGTGTTTGGTAAATTGTAATTATAGTAGCTGTGCTGGTTCTAAAATCAGTGTAATAGCGTTTGGTAAATTTTGATGTAGAATTGCTGTGGGTATGTAAAATGACCAAAATAGACATGGTATGAAAATTAAATATATATAATTGTTTTTAATATTTAGAAATATTTATTTAACTTTAAAAAAACATAATGCTATGATTTTACTTTTTTTAACAATAAATTTATGATAATTAATTCTTTTTTTTTCATGATAATTAATTATAATTCACACAAAGATAGTAATAATAAAGTAATAATAAAGTATATTACAAAAAGAAAAAAGTATACGATTCCTAAATCATTATAAATTGTTTCGTTATACAAAAGTATACAAATTGATTACTCACTACAAGGAGTATTAGTGAGTAATCAATTTGTGAACAAAAAAGTACATTCCATGTTCAAAAAGTGACAGAGCCATCAAAAGAATTAAGCCGTGTTCATTAAACTTGTCGCAATCTGATCTCGTACTTCAACCATTTCTTGTGATAGTGAAGCTTCATCTTCTTCTACATTATCCTCCAGTTGATGCTCTTCATAAGCGAAAACATCTAGATTAGCCTCCA